AAAACAAAAAACCCAAAAATAAGCCTTCTTCAGATGTGATAATAAGAAAAATGACCCTACTCAGTGGTTGATCTTTTCCAAAACACCAAGGTTAAACTGCCTCTGGAATGGATCAGGAAATGGGAAAACAGAGTATGGAGACCAGTGTTACCTTCTTGCAAACTTTACAGACTGATTTAAATACATATAAATAGCCCTCCCATATGGCAACATTGAGCATCCTCAACAAAAATTAGCAGATGGCAAAAGCATTCATGACCATGTAGATACAAGGCCCAAAGAATCCCTACAAGGTTCTGCAATTTGTTTTTCCAAACCATCAGAGAGCCAAAATCAACACACCTTCAAACATATCTGAGCACAGTTGTGATTTCTTAGTTAGCACCCTGTCAAATAATAAAACAAACAAACCAATAAAAACATTTAACAAGGGGAAGTATTCCAGCAGTTCATGTAAAAATTCCATATAAGAACTTCATGTAAGAACCTTGTAGATTTAAGTGTCTACAAGAAGGACGAACACCCACCATCTCCCTTTGTTTGCTCAGAAGCTCCTTCTCTCTTCTTCCCCACTTCCTAAATACCATTAGTCCCTATAAAGCTCTATGAAGTGAGGTCCAAAAGTCTAAAAGGTACAATTACAATATCTTACAAAATGAATCATCAATCAATTAGCACAAGGGGTGGGAGGAAATAATGGAGGCAGGAAAATAAAGCAAATAGGAGGCAAACTTTTGCTTTGGGTAACAACTTAAGAAAAGGGAAAAAAACAACACCCTTAATTTGAAACATCTGTCCTTAGATTAATATTAGATAACTATTTTTTTTATACTTTTCTTGCTGTTACATCTGCTTCCAATTTGAGCCACTTTGGAGCAGAACTGGAAGCAGACCTATCAGAAAGAAAAAAATATTCTTTCTTATTCTCAGCATCTGCTTTAGAATGAGATCTCTAGAGCACTGAGGGTCAGCTAAAAAACACACATTTTAGAGATGATTTTTTCTTCTTTAAAAAGAAGCTTTTGAATGCTTTTGAGACTTACTCATACTCAGGAAAAGTATAAGCTCTGGGGCACAAAAGAAATCAGAATTGGGAAAGAGTCTGTAAGACTTGCAAAGATGATCTAATAATTTTCCAGAAATGTATGCCAGAAAGCATAGAATATATCCCATTTTCTTTATTTTTTCTGTCTTCAACTATTTATCAAACATGCTTTATGACAAGAATATTGCTGAAATCATTTTTGTTGGTGGCTGAATACTGGCAACAGGCCAAATTAAAATTATTTGCAAGTTTCTGCACCAGACTTCCAATTACAAGAACAATATAGATTTTATGGGAGAACAGAAGCAACATCATGTGACCTGAAAACTCCATCAAAACAACTCAATTTCTGACTATTAACTGTAATAAACTGCTTATGAATAAAACATACATAAAAATTCCGCACAGAAATTTGGTAAGTAATCTTCAAAAGTAAGGAAGATAAAGAAAATATTTAATTGTGTACTGAAAATTATGAAGAAATAGTGTTGCAATCCAGTGGTCAATCATACATGGGTAACAATTTGGCTCATCTAGCAGAAAGAGATGAAACCAGAGCAGGCCTCCTCTGAAGGATGAGAAAGAGGGGAGGCTTTCACCTTGGCATATTGCTTTATTTCAGCCATTCTTCCATGGAGAATCACTGATTCATCACTCATTTAAATATGTCAGCCCATGCTGGTCAGGCTAAAGGGGATGGATAATATTAGATCTTATAATTAGACTAACTCTCACCACTTCTGTCCAGCAATGATTTTTTGAATTAAAAATATCAAGAGTGTCTTATGAACTGTATGACCACACTGCTCAGTGCTGAGGTCTCCAGCTCCAGCGTCTCTGCAGAGGGATGGCTTTTTCCTCTAATTGAGCCATAAGAGAAAATTTGGGTTATTCAATTCCTCTGACTTAGAAGAATTAAAAAAGAAAAATTTTATTTCCCAGCTCTTCCAAAAGCTTCCTTCAAAGAGGGATCCATACCAGCAGTAAAATCTCCTTCATAGGATATTGTCAAGACACCTGCTATAATTTGAAAACTCATTTGTTACTCCTTGTTGTTTATAATCCGTTTGAAGCAAAAAGCTAAAATCTATTTCCATTAGTACTCCAACTCCTCCATCAGGCACACCATGCCAAGGAAACTGCTTTTCCAACATAACATGTACACACAGAGCATGAAGCCAAATTTTTTAGCTGTATTACCAAGACATACGGTTTGGAACTCAGCTGTACACCCAGGCACTAAAGGTATTAACTTGGAGGATAATGGATGCAATAATGAATGGAACAGCACAATGGAATATGCTACAGGAGGGTCCTAATTAGCAGGCGAGGTAACAAGGAACCAGGAAGAATGGTGAAAGAGTGAGACATGACAGAACAGTGATTCTTCCAGGGTCATGGCTGTACCTGTACTCAGAACTCCTCACAGCACAGCCTCGTATTCAGACTTTTCAAAACCGAAGATGAGAAGAGGGCTCTGCATCCCACAAAAGGGAGGCAGCAAATGAAATCAATTTAAGCTGGAGGGGTAAAATCTCCAATGAGGGACCAATGCAGACGGTCATCACATGAGCAAAAATGATAAGGGGGTTATTATTTTACTATTGATATTTTCTGGTTTGACCACCAGGCTGCAAACCAGCAGAAACAGGAGGGAAAATTCCATGTGAAACTTCATTACTTTGTTTTTAGCAACTTTCAAATGGAGATAGGGCTCCTGGAAGAGTGATTTGGGTAATCCAGACAAGATGAAAAAGAGTTTGGATATTTTATCACCTTCTTTTCTTGTTCCTAGGTTGAACAAAACCTTAGATAAGATCAATAGTTTCTTTAGTTTTATGTTTCGCTTCCTTAAGGGTAGTTGGCTTATTGCATTTCCATTGATCACACAGACAAGGAGATTCGTCAGACAAACCATCTCTTTTCTCCTTTCATTTCCACCCTCCTCTCCATTTGAAATCAAATGACTTTTAAAGGAAGCCGAGGTCACTACTGTTTCTCATTTACATATCAATAGTACCCAATTCCTGCCTCATCTTTCAGCCACTAAAGTATTTTAAGATTTCAGTCTAAGAGAGGAGTGGGACACATTCCAGGAGAAAAACTCACAGCTTTTCTATTAGAAAAACGAAGTTCTGGTTTGCCTCAGCCCTTCATCAACCTGTGGTGAGATGAAGTACACTCACCAGCCTTGTGCAATTAATATTTTAACCTCTTGTAGCCTCTCTACAGTTTTCTTGTTCTTCCTAAATCCTTTGGACAATCCCCATCAGATGCCTCTGTGCAGCTCCAAGTGCTGTACCTGTGCACACAGCCAGCAAAGCAGCTGCTTCAATTAATTCCTTGCTTGAGTTGAAAAGGAAAAAAAAAAGCTTGAAAGCTGGAAAAAAACCCTAAAGACCAGGTTTGCTGCTCTCTGATAGAAGTCTGACCACTGATTCACTGAATGATACTGGATGTGGGAGCCTCTGATGCATTAAACAAGATGTTTTAAATCCTAGCTGCTGTTTCTACTGTACTTCAAGGTGTAAAAGTAAGAAAAAAATTAAGGTTGTGCCTGTCTAGGGGAAATTCTGGATGTATATGTACAGGGAGATCAGTCATATGCAATTAAAAAACTGACTCAATGATCCACAGTCAAACAAATCTTCCAAACCAAATGTCAGAAAGCCCCAAAGTTGACATCTTCTGCCTGAGCATTAGTGTCATTCTACTGCTTAGACACACATCCAACTTCAGGGTCCAAGAGTGAAGAACTCATGTTGAAGCCACTAGAAAAACATGACCTCTTATGTGATTAATTTCCAGTTTACAAGAATGATTTTAGGGCTCCAAGATACTGATGAATTAGCTTTGGCTTGATAGATGGAAGCTGAGGATTAAATGGTATTTATGCAACAAAATCTTCAGTTCAGTCTGTCAATTCCACACTCTTACTAATCCACTTGTAAGAGCAAGCAAATAGGACCAACTCTAAAGACCACTAAAAAGAAGAGGAAATAGCTTAAAAGTATCTATTTTCTGAAAGAGATACTGGATGTATTTATATGCAGCTCCAGTATAATCAACATAAAAGATTATATTCTATTTCAATACTAACAAGTTGTGTACTGAAGGCATTAGGATAAAAATAGTGGGAATACTTTAAATCTGCCTAAATCATAGAAGCTGCAATAAGTGTTTGTATTATCCTTATGACAGAGAAATGGTGAAGGAATTCTTAGTAATGAGAATATTCATGTATCCTCCATCTTTGAGTTCTAAACAGAAAAACCCTCAAAAAACCAGACAAGAATATGTGACCTCATAAACACAACCAGGTAATCCAATTAAGATTCAGATTTTCAGTGCATTGATAATGGAAATTTTAGAACTGCTTTACAGCTTTCAGACTTCCTTGAGAGTCATGGGAGCACTGGATTCTCTCACAAGCCCTCATATGTGAACTTGTTCTTGTCCTCAGTGCCTGGTGGTGGCCCTGATCTGTGTCAATAAAGAGGACAAGAAAGAACACAGAAAATAATTTCACACATTTTAAGAGATTTCTCTTCCTACTATTTTAAGCATCTAATGACACATATGAAGCAAGTTTGGTTAAAGACCTCACAGATGCTGATGGAGAACCAGTCATTAGATATCAATAAAATCTGATGTGCCACTGGTTTTAGATCTTACTGTGGTTATCTAAGAAATCAGTGAAATTCTCCTCTACAGAGATCATTTGGAGCTCTGTCATTGATTTCAGTCAAAGTAGATTTCCCCCCACTGTCTAAAAAGATTCAAACCCACTGTCTTGACCTGTGGTGCCTATTAAAAAGCCATTAGCACTTCTCAGGAGTAGAGAGTGTTAGATATAATTGCCCTGGGCATTACACTCTCTTGATTTTAACTGTCTGCCTTTTTTTTAATTCTGCCTTTCCTGTCCTGGAATTGATGTGTGTATAGCAGAGCATGGTTAAAACAGCAGCTGAATACTTCCTGCTACATTCTACAGAGAGGTAAAAGGATTAGTATAGAGCTTACAAAGATAATAATTTGAATGTCTTATTAATTAATTGTTATTTGTAATAATGGCTCTTTCCTTAAGGGTCTTTCAGGATCCTTAACTGCTTATTAATGTTGTACAGATAAGGATTGCTCCCTAGTGGAAGAAATGAGGTGGAATATAGAAGCCTTTCAAATAAAAGCAACAGGTTTGGAATAAGAAAAAGCAAAAAAAATTAGTCATTTGAAGGAATGGAGAATTATGATCACTCAAATACAATCATGAGACTTTATCCTATATTAAAAATTGCCAGGAGATCTCCCAGACTGATGCCTGGTACAAGTGCAGCCCTTCCTACCAACCTCATTTGAGGTGGAATTTGGGCCTGTCTAGATCACAGTCTCAGCCATAGCTTAAATTCATTGACATCTGTCAAAATTACTCTTAGATTGGCTACCTCTGCCTGTCAGAACAGGAAACTCCAAATGCAGGATTCTCAGTGGAGGCTCTTAAATGTAGCCATTTAGGTGAATGCTCAGGCAGTGAGAGCCTGTACCAACGAGTATTACAGTTAATTACCTTAGAATTAGGCTCAAAAATGTCCATATGACCTGCCAGAACTTTTACTATATGACTGAAAAAAAGCCCTTGTAAGGATAAGTCCCTATATATATATATATATATATATATATATATATACACATATATGTATCTGTCCCCAAAACACTCCTTTCTTCAGCTCAGTGCTTTTGGCTGCAGACTGGAGTTTCCTTTTATTTCCCTGCTGAATGAAACCTTACAGAGGGACTCTACTTTCTTGGCATGGAAGCTAAAAGAATGATGGGTAAAAGAATAAGATTCCCCTGAAAAGAAATTCTGGCTTACATGGGTCTGGAGATAGCACACAGTGCTCAGCAATGGCCATCTCCTCCAGCCAAGCTCACGAGATGTGCATCAGGAGGGTGGCAGAGGGTTTTTTGGAAGGTTTACTCACCCTGTAGAGTCCGTGGCTGCAGCTGCAGTAGGTGCTTTCCATGGTGTAGCTCCTCAGCACCCCCATTTCCTTCCACACCACCACACGGGCTGTGGACGCCCGGGACTTCTCCACCAGGAAGCTGCAGCTGTTCATGACAAACGCTGGGGCCACTTTATCCAGGATTTTGGGAAGAGTCTGTGAGAAAATGAATTGCAGAGATGTGCACGTGTTGGTATCATACACACATGTACAGAGAGACTTGTTTTTTAATGAGTCAATAATCAAATTTATCCATGGATACTGAGAGCTCCAACCGGTGCATTACCCCTACCCCATGTGAAACCCTCAGATTCTAACATTTGTTTCATTCCAAAGACTAAAATGCAAAGTTTCTGTAGAATTGACATATCTCACTCAAAACCAAACATTTGTACACCCAATAGTTTGGGTGAAGTGCTGAAATCAGTTTTGTTCTCAAGCTGCTTCAACCAACCTACACCTTCCTGTTGAGCTGCCAAGAGCCTCAGCTCAGTATCTGACATCCCAATTCTCCCCTCCACAGTTCTATTTTATCTCCTCCCACCATAAATCCAGGGTCTGACAAGGGTTGAGCCATGGGAGGAATTTTGTCTGAAGCTGGTATGGAGCAGAGAAAGGGGATCTGCTCTTGCAGAACATCACACATAATTATGTGAAAACAGAGCTTAACATTTACCTAATGTGCACTGTGAAACAAACCAAAATAATCTCTTCCAGGTCAAAACAGTGTATTTTATACAGTTTGCTTAAAGAATCAAAGAGTAATAAAAATACAGACAATAAAAAGTAATAATAAAACAAGTAAATATTACATCTTAGCCCTGAGTGGTTTTCTTACTCTCAAAAAATCACATTTCCCAACGAAGTCTATAAACACGCCTGAAGAATCAAATATTCCATCAATGAAGAGGCAACAATTACTTAGTCATTAGAGAGGGCTAAATGTGTTATTTTTACACTCTATAAAAATAGGTAACAGCTACATAGGGCACACCTAGTGCTAAAGAACAGGCTGGACTGTTAGATTCATACACACACACACGTGGGTTATGCCTGCGTGTGGTTGAACTTCAGTGCTGCTACACCAACCACAACATGTGCCAAAACACCGTCTGATCCACCTAGAGGAGACTGAGCAAAATTAGAACATTGGTTACTTCTTTTATGACAGTTTTCTTTAACACCTGAACTGAATGAAATCCTAGCAAAGGCGTTTCCACATATTGCTAGTGGCATTTACCCTTCAATTTCACTCAGTTTGGGTAGTGAGAACCAACCAGCTACTTTAATTTCCAGTAACCATCAGTTTCACCAACTAATTCTGAGGAATTGCAGTTCTGTTCTTTTGGGCTTTACTTCACATCACTGTATGGGAATATTTGGTTTGAAGGTTTTCTCCTAAAACATGCTTATTATGAGAGATACATATTTGGGCTAAAGTACTTTGCAGTATCTCTTGCAAACTACTTAACCATACATATCTTTCATTTATACACATTTCATTTTCCAGTATATTTTGGCTGCAGCTATTACTGGTCTCCTCCAGTTCCATAAGGTCCATTTTCAGATGAAAAAACTGAGATAGAGAAAACTAGAACAAAGCAAGAAACTTCACTTTAAATCTGAGACCACCTCAAGACTCAATCTTAAGTCAAGGTCTCCCATGTTTTACTAGGAGCTGCAGCACTATCTTTTCTGTGGGCACACTGAACAGAGAAACCCTGAAAATTCACTTCTTGCCTTTGATAAAGCATCCAACATTTCTGCACTGCCTTCAGCCTGCTACTTGCTGCACAGACTTAACAAAATTGTACAGCTTCATGCACAGCTTCCAGGTTTTCCTGGATTTTGACTAAGAAGGAAGTAAAAAAAACACAGCAGAATCATATAGCTCAGGTATTTATAAGCCTTAGTATGTGTGAATGGTATATGCTTTTATCTGAACCCACACACAGAATTTTGTAAACTTATCACACCAAATACAGGAATCAGAACCCTAATCCAGTTTCACTTTTTAGAGCAATTCAAATTATATGCATAATCAATCTTTTCCTTTTAATTAAATAACAATAGTGGCAGGTAACATTAATGTCTCTGTACACAGCACTCATTTAGAAGCATTAGCAAACCTGAATTTAATATTCTTTTCGTTTTACCAGCTTTCACTGGATTTCACACTAATGGCTGTTTCTTTTCTATTGATTCTTCTCATTAATTATCTTTCAATAATATATTTTGCGTGAAAACACGTCCCTTTAAAGGATGCTTTTATGATCTTGCAGCAGTGTGACTGCTGGATTTATCATGTGTGACAGCAAAGGAAGCTGCTCCACTTACTGGACCCTGTCCATAAACCTCCAATCCCATTCAAAAATAATGGAATTATATTTCTTTACTAATGTCCCTACAGAGATTGCTGTCAAAGGGGCCTGGAATGTTTATCAAAAGGTTGGGATTACAATGCCAATGCTGTGCAAGTCACCCAAGGCCACCAAATATTGAAGGCGAGGAGGACTCTGACTGTACATTGCCAAGGGCTACAGCTGAATCTATAACATATGAGGCAAAGGCTCTTCCAAAGCCCATAATTTTCTTCAGGTATTTGGTTTCTGTTCCTGTGGAGAAAAATCAATCATGGAGGCCAGATTAATTCCCATTACCTAGAGGAGGCAGGAGAGAAACCTGTGCAAACAGTGGAAGGCAGCAGGTCTGAGGCAGGGCTGGGGATCTGCCAGTTGGAATTGTGGATGTGTCCTCATTTCCCAGCTCAGCAGGGAGACTGTGACCCATAGGCTGGATCTGCAGCAGGCACCCACCTCTCATTTTGTGCAAAAACAAGATTTGAGCCACAAAAGCCTTTCTTCTGGGCCACTGCAGAGTATTCTTGGATAGCCTTGGAGCCTTTCTTCATTGCAGATTCAGGTCAGGCTCCAAATGCTGACAGGAACATTTGAATTCTGTCTGTGCAGCAGCGAGCCCTCCTCAGCCTTTGCAAGCCCCCGGAATTCAAACACAGCCAAAAATGCCCTGGCTGTGGGAACCCTCCCTGCTCTCCCCAGGAATCAATGTTTGCCACGGGGACCCCTCACAACCAACACTTTTTCCTCCTGTAAAGTTTCCGTTTTTTTCTGTGCAGCTCCATAAGATGAGCATGGAAAACATGACAATCTCATGGAAGAATATTGAATATTTATGCTGAAGTAGAAAAAAATATACAGAGGCATAAACTGACAAAGACTTTTCAACCTCTTGCAGGATTGAGTGATCCAAGCTGTAACTCCATAATCAGTTTGACTGGACCTTATAAAATTCTCTTTTTTCCCTGAAAAATCTTATTTAATAGGAAAATATAATTTAAACCTATTAAAAAGAAATAGAGAGAGATAAGCAGGAAATCCAAAGAAGACTCTGATGAACAAGACATTCCCATGAACAGATATAAAACAGATTTTAGAATTTGTTCTAATTCAAAAAATAAAAAAATAAAAAAAAAGGTTCCTAGGTATGACATCAAACATTTGTTCTGGAGATAGCTTCACTATGACAGGTTTTTTTGGCATCCATTGAATTATCTCATTTTTTCAGGGGGACCAGGAGCATTTTGATGTCTTTTGATGAAGACATTCAATTGAGTAGGACTGTGGGACACCATCACATTCTCAGTTAACATTACATAATTCCCATTTATTTTCATATTGTGGGTAGGATGGTGAGGACAAAATTGTATGTATATTTAGAAATTATAAAACACACAAAAATATGTCTGTCCTATTAACTTGTAGTCAAATATTATAGCACATCATTTTACTGAAATTAAATAAATAGCAAATACACCATCAGTAGATTGGACCCTAACATCTGGTGCATTAAGATATTACATGTGACTCAAAATTTTCTGGACCATTATTCCACAAGAACAAGGAAAGTTTGTACCCTATCACCAGAATTTCTGAGGTGACCTTATCTTAAATATTTTAAATATATTAGCACATACAGGCTGCTAATTAAGGAAGGAACCAGGTGGACCTACCCTGTAGCCAACATCTTCTGTGACAACTGCTGTGTCAACCATGCAGCCTGCCTGCCACAAGGTCTCTTTAATGCTGCAGCCATAGAGAAACACATTCTTTTTCTGGGAGTGCCCATGGTAGTCACAGAACACCTAAAGAGTGGAAAAAACAAGGCAAAATGTTGAACACTGGAAAGGTTTCTTGGTTCTTTACAATAAGCAGTATTAGACTATGGCAGGGAGGTGTAAATGTTGGTTTTTTTTCTGGTGTCTTCAGAGTAGCTTAGACTCTGGGCCGTGCCTTTGACCTGTGTCAGACTTCATTAGTCTCTTGTATCTTGCTTTATTTATTTGATCTGACATGATCTCAGGGGTCCAGAGTCAAGCCTAGTGCACTTCTGTCTGCAGCAGAAGTAAACATGACACCTGTGCAAGAATCCATGGCAACTCAGGAACCTAAGGGTTCATGAGAACTCCTAATATCACAACAGAGCAATTTGCCAGGCTCTTTCTACTTCCAAACTCCTAAACTCCAGCTTTATCCTCATGAGATTTGAAATCTATGCCTTCCCAAGCGATTAATCATCGCTTTGTCATCTTTAAATTAAAAACCCATGCTACATAATTTTCAGGAAACTATAATTGTGCAATTGTATTGTCAGATCTTTGCATGAATTCCTGCAAGTCAAGCACAGAAAATGACCCATATTCAAGGCAAATAATCTCATTCCACACTAATCTACCTGTCTATCCAATCCATCTCTCAAGTCAGCTGTCATATAAACGAGGTACAAGGCACAGTCCCAGTTTTAGCGGAAGTTTTGATTGCCTTTATAGGCAGATATTGATTCCCATGGAAATGAAAATCACAATTTAATGACCTGAGAGGTAAATATTGACCCAGGTCTTAAAGAATAATCAATCTCAGTGCCCTCTGAGATATGAAGTCGATGTACACATGGCTGTTACATATATTCTCCATGTCTTCATCAGGAATATTCAGAAATCTGTCAATGAAAAGATACAAACCTCTAAAGAGAAGGTATTATTTGACTTTAAACCAACAGCATGCACCGTGAAGTAGAAAGGAGTTTCAAGATTTCATTGAAATGGTTTTCCAGGACTTATGCTGGAGATGAATGTGTGTGGGAAGGTAGAGAAAAATGATAGATCCACACAGAGATGGGGGAGAAATATGGGGTGCAAAAAAATAGAATCACAGAATCGTTTAGGCTGGAAGATATCTCTAAAATCATCAGGTCCAATTATTAACCCAGCACTGCCAAATCCACCACTACACCCTGTCCCCAAGTGCCACAACTGCACATCTTTAAATACCTGCAGGATGGCGACTCCACCACTGCTCAGGGCAGCCTTTTCCAATGCTTGATAACCCTTCAGAGAAGGAATTTCTTCCTCATATCCAACCTAAACCTCCCCTGGAACAACTTGAGGCCTTTCCCTCTTCTCCTGTCAATTGTTGCTTGGGAGAAGAGACTGACATCCACTCACTGTCAGCCTGTCCCTCTGCAGAGCCCTCCTACCCTCCAGCAGATCAACACTCCCACCCATATTCTTACCTAAATACATGCACAAGAGGGGAGAAACAGATGGAGAACATGAGCTTCTTCCACCAACTGTTAGGGCAAGACTCACCCTAGTTTGCTTATTTACCACAGGAACTAAGTTTAGCTGCAGCACGTCAGGGAGTTTATTTATCTGGGAATTGAGCACGTACATTCCTTCAGCTCCTCTGACACCAGAGAGGCTGAGGCACACAGAATAACCAGTCAGATGGACAACTGTACACATCCCATATCTTACATGCTGCTGCTTCCTTTGCTTTCTGACCTGCCAGCTTCCCTTCCCACACCACCACTCACCTCCAGATCTTTGTGTGGGGCTGCAGGTTCCACACCTGGAGCTTGTGAACAGCCACCCACCCAGAAACAGCTCTGATCCACACACAATTATCCAGGAATGCCTCCTTCTAAAGAGCTGCATTGGTTAATTCTCTTAATGACAGACATTCTTCCAGCTAGTTTTTCATCTAAGCTATCAGCAATACACAGTCACATCTTAGGTTAACCACAGTTACCACCTAGAATGTATTTCTATGAATATCAAAGAGGATTTTACATCTTTTGTCTGATTTTAAGGCAGAGAACTCAGCTCAACTGGGTATCAATTACCTGCCAATTTACAGAATTACAACACACAAAAGACAATATATTATCTGCCTAAAATATTATTTATCATAAAGCACACAGGGATGATCAGAGAGTGGGGCTTCCTGATAAGTAGCAGGTATATAATTCTGCACCTCAAGAAGCCTGCAACCAGGTCCTTAGTGACAGATCTGGATTGAGACTTCTTTATTGGTATAGGATTACCAAAGCCAGGTTCTGTAATTTGGCAGCTGCTTCAGGCCATGGAATCTTTCAGAGTGTCACCAGCTTCCACAGTAGAGGCATCAGTGCCACCGAAATCACTTTCTTTCTATTTGCAAGTTGCAGAGTGCTACAGTTTAATTAATTTAACTGGATACTGCAGTCACTCCCAATGTTTATACCAAATTATTCTCTACAGCACATTCTTCTGCCTGATTTTCACACCACAGGGTAGCTTATGTCTCACCATTCAGCCAAGGCTAAGAGATATCTTGAAGTCTGAGCACCCAACACAGAATTCTTCCTGGGATATGTCTGGGCAAACACTGAGCAAACTTGGCATCTCCCATGCTTTTTCTTCAGCCTGTCCTTCCATATGGCTGGGACACTGAGACACACAAACCAGTCAGACTCCCAAGCTTGCACTCACTGGGATATGACTCAAAGACATGCACAGTTTTGAAATCTATTTAAAGTTATTTGCCAGCACTGATCTGAAAGGTAAGGACTGCCTTCTAGCTCAAAAACAACACTCCTCATGAGTCACAGAACCAGGTACCTTTTAAAATAAAAGAAAAGCAATTTATAAAGTGGAAAGCAAGAAAAGCTGTTGGAAAACAGAACTTTTTGAAATTTCTTCTCTTTTTTTGTGTCAACTCTCTGTCTTAATAACATTGTGACAGGACACTAAATGCCAGTTTTGAGGTAGACATGCTTCTAACCATGTTTTTTCCTCTCAATGACTACATTCTTGCAGGCTGTACTCGTTTCCAAGCTTGATTTAATGCCTTTGAGAGGCAGCAAACTCTGCTCAGAGCCTTCTGGTCCACTGGAAGTTCCTTTCCCCTTTTGGAGCACTGGAGATGAGATTCTCTGCAATGTCCCAGTGCCCCAGTCCCTTGGTCTCATTAGGGTTCCCACAGCCAACAAGGTAAGCAAAAAACCTCCATCATTTAACAGGCTGCTTTCATTTTAACAAAAGAATTAAAGTGGCCTTGCTTTAAAGTGGCTGAAGTTCTTTGTTCTTCTCCTTCAAGCTTTTCAAGATTTTCTTTGCTTCAAAGAAAACTGCTTGCACATCCCTAGGATAAATTAAACCAAATCAGTTCACAGAAATCATGTGGTTATCAGTGAACTTGGCTCCATGGGATCTTAAAAGAAAACCCAATAAAAACAAACAAACAACAACAACAAAAAAAAAAATCCAAAACCCAAACCCTCTTCTGAAGGAGGGAAAAGACATTTTCAATGTATTTTTCAAAGGAAAAGTAAAATCATTTTATGCAGTCTGTGAGTGAGGGAGATGGCAGGATCAATAGTCTCCGTTCACTCAACAAGGATGAAAACTTGCACTGAGTATTTGACATCATGCACCTGAATATGACAAAGAGGGTCACGTATTAAAGGAGGCCAGACAGCAAATTACAGGGTAAAGCAGGACATCCTACACTACTCTGAACCAAAGGAAAATGCTGGTGATGCAATTTGCAACTCTGAGCTGAATTTTAACAATACTTCTCAGCCTACAGAGATACATTTCAGGGCTTAGACAAAAACTAAATTACTTCAAGAATTCTTTTAGAGAAGCTCACAGACATTTTCACCTTGTCTGGGGCTTTTCTCACCAAACCCAGAGGGATTCTGGAGCACTTGGACATTTCCTGCCTGGCTGTAGCTATCACCAACAAACCTGCCAGTCCATGTATCCCCATCTGTTTGTCAATTTTGAAGTTCCTTGTGGTTTTCCTCCTGGGGTCTCAGAACAATCTTTTCCTTCTGCTAGGCTACTGAGCAGATGGGATGGATCCCAGAATTTCTGGTAGCCCCCAAACCCCGTCCTTTTCTTCCCATTACCAAAGCAGCAGGGAAGTTCACACACCCTGCTTTTGTGATTGCACGGCCTTTAGCACACAAAGCAGCAGGGAAGTTCACACACCCTGTTTTTGTGATTGCATGGCCTTTAGCACAGTCCATTTAGACTAAATCTTCTAGGAATTTCTCCTAATGCTTCCATGAAGATAGCAATAATCTGCTCATAATATTTAGCTCACTCCAGCTCTGCAGCAAGACTCTTCACAAAAGTAAAACAATCAATCCATTCACAGAATCACACAAAAATCCTGGAAGAGACTCACCAGAGGAGCCCGGCCAATGCTGCTCAGGTAATAGAGGAGACCTTTGGCATGGTAAATCGTTGGGTGCAGCTGGGAACTGGGTGTCAGCCACTGCCTGTTGAGGTCATCTCCACTCAGTGAACAACGAAGGCTGGAATCAGGAAGCAACACATCACAAACTGGCAAAACAACAGCTGTTTCCAAAGCATTTCCAGTCCTGGCAAGCCATGGCACAAAGGACAGGGAATGTCAATAGAACACAGATATAATGCTTTTGAACACTGGGCTGGAATGAATCGCTAATCCATATTATACTTTTCAGGTTCTTATAGTATATTAATTTTACAATTTCCTTCTAAGGTTCATATAATTGTTGTCATGCAAATAAATGCAGTTTTTCACTTACCTAAGAAGGCACAAATCAAAAGACCACACAGAAAAAAAGTCTCCTGAAACATTCTAAATTCTGTGCTGTGAAATTCATGCAGCTTGCATAGAGCACAAGCTTCTCAAAGCCCCCAGAGCAAACAAGCACATCCAGCTTCTACTCATTCTAATTGAAGACATGCACTCAAATCTCATTGACCAGTGTGAAAAATGAATGCACTTAAATGAGATGTGCTGGGTGTCTCATTTAAGCTTCTCTACTCACAAGAAATGTCTCTATCTAAAGCCCATCAAGGAGATCATGATGCCTGCTAGAGCATTATGTAGAACAATTACCCAGCTTCACTGCAAAGGCTAGATAAAAAGCTAAATAAGAATCCCAGGTTTGCACTGAGGAAACGTTACCCTTAGTTAGTGAAAACATATTCTGTTACTGACTCAATGATCAGTGGAAGATTGTGCAGATACTTGACCATGTGGAGCAGTACAGCACTGTGCAATTTTGAAAAATTCAACTAATCTCCCTTGTTAGTGACTGTGTAGATCAGAGCCTTACACTCTTCAAAGGACTTGCTGTAATTTGGTTGATAATTTTCAACTCACAGTGTGGTGATAAAATTCAGGAATCCACCCTCCAGCATATGAGATATTGTGGTAGGCCCTCATCATCTCCAAACTACCCACTAGAATGCCTCCAGTGGCACTGTAAAGTTGGGGTGCATCTTCTTCAGAAAAGTTTAAATATCCTATATGTTGGATGAATTTCTAGCTACAGAGTTGCATCTAGCTTGCCTGCATCAACCTCTTAGAACAAATTAAAATAAAATGTACTAATAAGAGATGGGTCCTGCTGTTGTATTGACAGAGGTTAGGGTGTGCTGCATGTGGCATCTTGGGCATTATCAATGCCTTGCAAAATGCTTTAAGGAAAAGGGCTGTAAAACAGGAATGTTTGGGGGTTTTTCAATAGGTGGGAATAATGGGGAACTGGTTAAAAATGGAAGACAAAGAAATAATGAGTTACTAAGAATATTTCACTTATCTTTAATGCAGAAAAAATAGGTCTTTAATGACATCTTGGGGTTTCTGGCAACACCACAAGATCCATTCCAGATTTACTCTAGTTTCAGTTATCTGAATTCCCTTATTTCCTCATAATCCATACTCCCCATGTTACTCAGCAAATCAGAAAACACTAGCAATAGCTAACACTTGGGAAATCAGCAAATGCTGCTGGGAGGCTTCTGCCAAAAATTCTGCATGAAGACATGACATCTTCTGTTGTGTTTCTTAAGGGCTCTCTGGATCAAGTTACCTTTAGGCTCACCTCTCCTGATCTTCAGGACAACAGCTGCTCAGCTGAGATTAGGAGCTGTATTTCTGCCAAGAATTTGTGTGTGCCTACAGATTTTCCCTTCGACAGGTACAATGCCACAGAAGGAGTCACTGAATTGCATAAAGAAACTCATATTTCTCCAATATGACCAGCAAAAAAATAAAATCAAACGCTTCCTTGTCATCAGGCTGTGATGTCTTCCTCCATCACAGTTATACATACCAGGGAGAAAAACTAATTGAGAAAAACAACAGAATTTCCATTCTGAAGGAAAGAATGATAGCTGAGCTTGTATTCCCATGTTTAATTTAATATCAAGAAGAAAAAATGTGAGTCTTTTTGTTTCAGACCTACAGAACTAGATTTTCAACATTGTCATTGGTCACACCCCAAACCTCTATACCCCCTTTCCTGGGGGAATTGACATGAGTATATGCCTGCTCACACCATCCACATTTCCCTCTGCTAAAAAATGCCTAGGTACACACTGGACAAGTTCAACATAAAGAGAGAAACAAGCAGGGGAATAGAAACATGACAGCTGAAAATTACTGCTAAAAGGATTCAGTAAATACAGAGACTAATACTAAATCACTGCCAAACTCATTTTTTATTTTTTAGACTGAACTAAAAGCTTCTAAAGATGTTCATTATTCCTTTAGCAATTATATAGAAACCCCATGATCTGTCACATAAGAAAAACTCCTAATCAAATCCATAATGCAATTTGCCAGTTCTGTTGCTCTTTTTTTGTGACTTCCTTCAGAGGTGACTGTGACAAGACAATCCTCAGCTCTGCAGTTCACAGGTGCTGCTGTGCCTAGTATTAGTTTAAGAAGTGTAATCCAACTCTCAAACAATAATTTGGAAGTTCTTATGAACTGTTTGGGAAGAAGGTAACGTCTCTACATAAAGCCAAGAGCCAGGAGACAAAGTTCAGCTTTGTCCCCTCAAAGATTAACATCTCTGCTCATTTAAAGGTTTAAATATTAGCCCTCAGCTTGGCTGTATCCACAGCTCTTCAGGACATGCAGAATTTGAATTTAATTACATGAGGCTGATTTTTTCCACCTTGCTCTGTCTTTCCTTCATTCTGCTGAAATCTGTTTACTTTTGAACATGCCAATTCCCTGACAGTCCTGTTTCTCCTCATGCCTTCATTCCTTCTCTCTCTTTCCTAATAGTGATAACATGCACAGATAATGGTTTTGCCTATTATGCTCTGCAGCCAAGGGTGAAGGTAAAATATTAAGCTGATTTCAAATGCTGATAGCAAATAAAGGGACTGAAGAGCTGAGACTGGCTTTGAATGTTTGGCAGGATTTAATGAAATTCACTACTCAAATCAAAGGCCTTTCTTACAACACAGTTCCAAGCTATTATATTTCCTTTAAATGCTTTACATGTCCTTTTGTCTTTTGCAGCATTAGCAAGATTACATGCCACCTTGGATGGGACTAGTGGCAGCAAAAACCCTTGCCAGAAAAAATTCCAATAAAAAACACCACTTCTGTGGCTCTATATACAGTACCTGAAATTCTGCTAATTGTTACATACCTTCAACCCAAGTGCATTTCCCAAGTGCATTGAGATATCTCAAATAATTAAACTGTGACTCTATTGTTCAAAAGCCTGCTCTGTTTGTTATAGTCCTCCCCCTTCCTCTACTTTTATATAGCCAAGACATTTTGGCTTTAAGGGCAAAGTAACCTCAAATAGTGCACAAAACTCAGCCCAAGCCACGTGTATGGATGGAGAGACCCTGCCTGGTCCTGGCATGAGGCTTGATAAGGCCAACAGAACATTTCAGTTGACTGCAGTAAGTCTGTGTCCCATAAAGGTGCAAAAATGGCAGGGGATGAGAAGCACAGAAACACTGGAAAAACAAAACTGAACAGGGTTTTGTAGTAAAGAGATTGGGGATAAGAATAATACACAAGATATTAGACAAGGAACAATGAAATGGAGAGAGAGAAAAGTCACTTTTTAAAGAAAATATGTTGCTGTGCTTGGAAGATAAAATGTTTCCCAGTCTCCTGTCCATAATAGATAAAAGGAAAGACAGGAACCATCATATTGAATGAATGATGTCAGGACTGATAATAACAGCACCTGGGGCACAGGGAAATATAAAATCTAAAGGGATGCATCATGTTTGATATGTAGGGAAAAGCATCACCATTCACTGTGCATCTTAAAAGCAGACAGCAGTACCAGTGTAGGATGAGAGTAGCTGTATAAAAGGCAGCAGGCACAAGTAAAGATCAAGATGCCATTGAGCAGCAAGAGGCAGCTTCAACCAGACACAGCATGCTGGACTTTATAAATAACAGCAGCCTAGGATGAAAACTGAAATATTTGTATTAAGGTGTTTTGGTCTTGCCATTCAGAAAACTCAGAGCAACAGGGAGGGGGAAAAAAAAAACAAAACAAAAAACCAAAAAGGATAGAAAATCCTTTATTTCTCTTCATTTTAAATCTTTCCTGAGATTAAGATTTTGTGATATTAGGAAGCAGCAGCAGCAGTAAAGCCCTCCTTCATACTGTAATGGAGCATGTCAGAAATATAACCATTATTTTCTGGCTTTGTTCAAGACCATGGGCTGAAATCATAATGACTGCACTGCATTCCTGATATGGCCCTGTGATGCCAATGATTATTCTAGAAATGGAATATCACCAGAACAATGTAAAATTTGGAGGATTTACAATGAAACAGTTGTCATCAGCATTATTGCAGCAAACAATTTATTTCCCATCCTTCTGACTGCAACACGAATGCTAAAATGTGTACAATAGAACAAGGCTCAAGAGCAGTTTACCTTCCCAACATAACCAAAACATCTGGGAGTCCAGGAGCTACAATCCCTATTCCATATCTCTTTTCTTCAAGCATCTATTTCTTTAATTCCTAATCACACTCCTGTCCTTACTAATGCATGACCTACTGCAATGTTAATTGTCCTCAAAACTCATTTGCACCACATCTAACTGCCAAACTGGTTTTATCAAGATTGTAGACCACAGTAAGCACTGGAGCACCATGGCAGGCTGGCCCTGTTTAACTGACCAGATGATAAAAAACAAGGCCAAAACGTCAGCTTCTCCTAAGAGATCCCCATAAAGTACCAAACAGTGGTGGTTTTTCAATTGCACTGTGAAATGCTGCCTATTTATTTTATCACCAAGCCTTTAAGAGGAAAATTTTTACTACTCTCTTCTCTTTTATTTTATGGCACCTTACACACACACAATGCCAGACTCACATCCTGAGTGACACTTGTGCTTCCTGGGTGCCAACCAATTTAAGGGTGCCAATGAAACGTCGCGTCCCATTTCAGCCCGGGGCTGCTCCACCACCCTCCCCTCCCAGGGCTGATAAATCCATGATGCACCATTGGACAAACACTATCCTGAGGTATCACCCTGCCAGTTTTCTCCTGCCTCCTGACAGCTGAGCACTGATACTAATTAGTGTAATGAACCTGCAGCGTTTGACTCGCTGCGTCTGACTGATTTTGTCACAATGGACAATTCCTTGCTTCCCAAGATAAATGATGCAATCTGTGCTCTTCCTGCTCCGTGCATGTACTGTATCTCTATCCTTGCTCAGCTGCCTCTGATGGAAGGGCTCCTTTTCTCTCTGTGGACACATTCCATTAAGCCACACTTGGTCACAAATCACTTGGAGATGCAGAATGAGACCCCAGCTAATGCTGCCAATGTCATCCTCAAATAAAACAAGGAGTTCACCTGATCTGCTGGAAAGGTGAGCAAACAGGATTGTCAGGGAGGAGCCAGCCTCCCTCCCAGTTCCACACCAAAGGATGCCCAGCTCATTTCTATTTCTTCTATTTGTAATTGCAGTAATTATTAAATACCAGATAATTTATTCACCTGAGGTTGCCCATACTTTGCACTGGCCTCTATGAGAAAAGTTCAAGTAATAAAAGTTTTGTGCTATTTATGAGGGAGCAAATAAGGACTCAGGGAACAAATAAAAACTAGGTTCTCATCCACGACATGGGGTCATCTCAAATCTCTTCTGAGGATCTTCAAATACTTTATTCAGTAAAAAAAAGCCTTAGAACAGCATTTCTTAGACACTGGGTTTGGGTGGAAATTTCACTTTTCAGTTCT